TCCATATCCAGGCCTCTTTTCTTACTGTCCTGTACTGAGACACCCATACTCTGCTCCTCCTCCCCCTCCAGTAAAACTTTCCTTTGTGTACTAGAGGACCTTGCAAGAAGGATTGCTTAGAGGCAGAAGCAACCTCAGGGCCCATGCCCCATCTGTAAAGAAAACCACTGAGAAATCTGATGTCTTGAAATCCTAGCATAGCTGAGTGCATGGCCTTCAAGACAGCAGTGAGCCTGCAGACCATTTTTCAACCATATTCTTTTCTCCTGGACCCAGACCCCCAAAATCTTAAATCATAATAGTAATTGTAATATTAATAACAATACATCCATCTTCACCTCCTTTTCTTCCTTCATTTCCAGGAAAACTTTCCTCTGTGTACTAGAGGGTCTTACAATAGGAAATGCCTAGAGGCAGAAGCAACTTCAGGATCCCTGCCCCATCTGTAAACAAAATCATTGAGAAATATGATGGTTTGAAATCCTAGTATAGTTGGGTTCATGGTCTTTAGGAGAGCAGTGAGCTTGTAGCCCAGTTTTCAGCCATGCTCTTTGCTCCTGGACCCAGAACCCCAAGAAACTTAATATCATGAGAATAGTAACAGTAGTAATAATTTAAAAAGGCATATTGTATTATGCCCTACAGCCTTATTTCTCCCAACCAACGGCCTGCTGTGTATGGATCTGTCACTCAGTTCTGGGAGCCCTTGTATTAGAAAGAGACTTTTTGTTGAGGTACAGATTAAGGTGCTTTTTGCCCCCAGAGGAGATTTCTCCTAATGGAATTCTTGATAGACTCCTTTTTAGGGCCAGATAGTCAGATTCTTGGGAGCGCCCAGAGACAGCAAATAAATAAATTGTACCTCTGGGATCATGCCCTATTCCCACAACAAAGACAGTACCCATTGAAGGCTGAGGTTGTGGAGGGGCTAATTCCCATCCTAAAGGGCTATAACAGAGATTCCCTACTAAGGAGCCCTGAAAACATGCCTATCCAAAACTAAACAAATGGCGGGGTTGGGGGACCCTAAAGAGTGGAGGCTGGACCAGGAACTGGGATTCATCAATGAAGCAATCATCCCCCTCTATCTCATGGTCCATAATCCATATATTCTTCCTGGCACAAGTACTCCCAAATACTATTCCTTCTTTTTATAAGATCTTAAATAGATTAAGGACCACCTAGGGATGCTTCAGAGGTCAATTTAGTATGGTAAGATAAAGCCACATTCTCCATCAGGGATGTTCTAAAAATATTCTGTGCTTAGTAACTTGTTGTTTAAAAGTACAGCCTCTGTTTGTTGTTGGCATTTTCCTATAAATATTTCTTGACCGTTCAGGAGTTTCTGGTGATGTCAGATCTTTTCTGTAATACTATGTTGTGGCTTGTTTTCTTGGTGGTCTTTGTCTTTCTATATTGAAACAAAGATGATGGAAAAGTTGAGATTCATATAAGGGATATGAAAGGGGGATCACCGGGAGCCCATAGCAGGCTACTAATTTCTAGGCCTCACTTCCTACTCTCTTTTACTGAGAAGCCCTTACTTTGCTTCTCCACTTCCTCCGTTCATTTTCCCAGCTCCTTTATACCTGTGAATGTGGACCCTACCTCACATAACATAAGGCAGCCCTCACAGCCAGGACTTCTAGTTGGGGCTGTACCAACCTGCCAGTTGCCCTGGCATCTCTCACTCACTAATAAACTTTGCCTCTGCGTGCCCTTTTCCTGACTCACAATTCTTTATTTGCTGGAGAATAAAGGGCTTAAGACCCTAGAATTTAGGGAACTATTATATAATAAATGGAAATAAACTATATTCATAATATAAAAACATAAACTAAGTTTCCAGCTCTTTCATTGGCAGGCTTTGTACTACACAGTGATCCCTGTTATACCTTCGACCCAAGGGAATGGCTCCCATCTTAAGCAGCTGGCAGACTGCAGTCTTGGGAACTTGTTGGAAATGAAGAATGAAATATACCCCAACAGCCCAATCCATAAGGCAATTGTGGCCCAGTCACACACACTCACACACACACACAGATACACACAAACAAACACAGAATGGAATATATTTAGTACTTTAAAACACAGATGCCATTTTTTGTGACATTAATGAACATGTGCATGTGAAATAAGCATCATAGAGGCAAAGTATTGCAAAATTCCACTGCTATGTGATATATATAAATATATAAATCATATGCTTTAAACTCTCTATATAGTACATATATATATATATATATATAGAGAGAGAGAGAGAGAGAGAGAGAGAGAGAGAGAGTTGAAAGTATACGACTGAATATATCAGTGGTTACCAGGAGTGGAGACTGTAGAAATGGGGAAATGTAGCTGAAACTGCACTAAGCAGAATTCACATGGAATAATTAAATCTTTGCACTTAGGGACAGTTCAAAGATCAATTTGGTATACTAATATACAGCCCAGTTCTCTACCAGGGATGTTTGTTAAAATATTCTGATCTTGGTAACCTACACTTCTTTCCAAGTAGAGCCTGTGTTTATTGTTGCTATTTTCTCATATGTGTGTCTGGCTGTCCAGGATTTTCTGGTGATGCCCAGCTCTTTTTAGTATCACTATTCTGTGGCATATATGTTTCCTTGGAAGTCTTTGGCTTCCTAGTTTTTTTTTTAAAAAAAAGATGATAGAAAACCTGAGATTTGCACAACAAATATAAAGGGACTATAGTAGGCTATCCATTTCCAGGCCTCTTTTCTTACTGTCCTATACTGAGAAACCCAAACTCTGCTCCTCCTCCACCTCCAGGAAAACTTCCCTTTGTGTCCTAGAGGGCCTTGCAAGAAGGATTGCCTAGTGGCAGAAGCAACCTCAGGGCCCATGCCCCATCTGTAAAGGAAACCACTGAGAAATCTGATGTCTTCAAATCCTAGCATAGCTGAATGTGTGGCCTTCATATCAGCAGTGAGCCTGCAGTCTATTTTTCAACCATATTCTTTTCTCCTGGACCCAGACCCCCAAGAAGCTTAAATCATAATAGTAATTATATTAATAATAATAATAACAAAAATAATAGTAATAGGGGTATATTGTATCATTCCTAACAGTCTTATTTCACCCAATTGGTCTGCTTCTGTGGAGATCTCCCCCTCTGTCACTCATTTCTGGTAGGTCTTTTATTATTTACCAGCAACAGGTTAAGTTGCTTTTGTTCCCCTCAACCCCACCACCATCCCCAGGAGGGTCAAATAGTCAAACCCCACCACCACCCCTTGTAGGGCCAGATAGTCAAACACTTGGGAGAGCCTAGAGGCAACACATGAAAAATTGCACCTCTGGCATAAGTCCCAATACCTATATTAAATGCAATACCCATTGAAGGCTCAGGTCCAGGAGGGGCTAATTCCTATTCTTAAGGGCTTAAAACACAGATACCTCACTAATTAGCCCATAAAACATGCCTCTGCAAAGCTAAACAAAAGGGAACCCTGAAGAGTAGAGGCTGCATCAGGACCTCTGATTCACAAATGAAGCAATTATCCCCCTCTATCCTACAAAGGGAAATTCAAGATAAAGCCCAGTTCTCTATCAGGGATCTTCTAAAAGTATTCTGCTCTTAGTAACCTTCTGTTGTTTAAAAGTACAGACTTTGTTGTTGGAATTTTCTTAGCTAGATTTCTTGAGTGTTCATGAATTTCTGGAGATGCCAGCTCTTTTCTATATCAACACTCAGTTGTGGTATGTTTTCTTGGTGGTCTTTTTCTTTTTTTAATAATTTTTTTTACTGAGATTAAATGATTACATAAATTGCACAGTATTGTAGGATACTGATACTTATTTAAAGTCACAAACACATTTTAACCTTCCAAAGGCAAATTGTCATTATCTTGCTCTATAAAGTTTGGTGACTTCTATAAGCTTCGACAATATAACTATTTCTTCTGCATTGGGTGATATACACATTTCTTTCCTTTTGCTTAGTGTTAGCTGTTCCTTCTTTCTGGTCTTTGTCTTTCTAACTTGAAACAAAGATGATAGCAAATATGAGATTCCCACACAGGCTATAAATGGAATGTATAGCAGACTACCAATTTCCAGGCCACACTTCCTACTCTCTTTTACTGAGAAGTCATTACTCTGGTCCTCCTTGCCCTCTCCTCCCTCCTTTCCATTCCGCTCCTCCTTCTTGCATGGGAAATAGGTAGACAGACCTCATGAAACCTAAGGCAGCCCTCACAACCAGGACTGCCAGTCACTAAGAGGCTTTCCTCAGTTTCCCTGGCACCTCTTACTTTCTAATCAACTTTGTTTCAACTTCCACATTTCCTGACTAATAATTCTTTATTACATGGATAATAAAGGGCTTAAGACACCTAGAGCTTAGAGAAACGTTTTAGAACAAATGGAAATAAAGTGATAGTTATAATATCAAAATGTGTTTCCAGCTTTTTCCTATGCTGACATTTGCACATGCCCTGAGCTCTCTTTTACACTCTAGCCAAAGGAGTATCTCCTACCTCAAGCAGTTGACAGGACTGTGTGGGAACTCTTGGGCAGGAAAGAATAAAATAATCCCACAATAGTTCAGTCCATAAAGAAATTGTGTTTCAGGGGGCTGGGGGTTTAGCCCAGTGGAAGGGCTCCTGCTGGCACACTCAAGGCCCTGGGCTCGGTCCTCAGCCCTGGAAAAAAAAAAGAAATTGTGTTGGGGGGGGGATGAGAGAGAGAGAGAGAGAGAGAGAGAGAGAGAGAGAGGGGACTAATCCCTCATGCTTTTAAAAGCAGATGTTGTCATTTTTTGTAAATTAAAGAACCTGCCTAAAAATGTCTATATGAAAGAAGCAACACAGAGGCTAAAGTATTGCAAGATTCCACTACTATGATGTGTCTTTAAAAAGCTGAAAGCATATGACTGAATACATCAATGGTTGCCAGGAATGGCGACTGCAGAAATGGGTCAGAGTGCACCAAACAGAACTCACATAGAGATCGCCATGGCTGCCACCGCTGCTACCATAGCCATGAATGGTGTCGGGGAGGCTTGCACTGACATGAAGCGCGAATAGGACCAGTGCTTCAACTGCTGGTTTGCTGAGAAGTTCCTCAAGGGGGATGGTTCTGGGGACCCGTGCACCGATCTCTTCAAGCATTACCAACAGTGTGTTCAGAAAGCAATAAAGGAGAAAGAGAGAAGTTCCTCAAGAGGATGGTTCTGGGGACCCGTGCACCGATCTCTTCAAGCATTACCAGCAGTGTGTTCAGAAAGCAATAAAAGGAGAAAGAGATTCCTATTCAAGGATTGGAGTTCATGGGCCATGGCAAAGAAAAGCCTGAAAATTCTTCTTGACTCTGCTTGTCACCTTGAAAATGGATTCCTCATATCAGGAAATTGAGAGGACTTTGGAAGTTGTCAGCTTAAGGCTATGAAGTCATTACTATTTAATGAGTTTGGGAGGAAGTTGCCTCTTCCTCCCACTTGTAAAGATGCTGCTTTGAGATGATTTCTCACTTGCTTTGGCATTTCACAGGAATTCACTGTGCTAAAGTGAACAATTTCTTGGGATATGGTTGCAATATATGGTCTGGAATCAACTTCAAATATACCTTCAGCATAAATCATGATAAGCTAGACAAGGTGATCGGGGCTCCTTAACCTTTTGATTTCTGCTGCAAAGGACATTACATATAGAGTATGGGGGTCCTTGTTCATGAAAGTAGTCAGGACCTTTTTGTTTCCTCAGGGAGCTAATGCTCTAAAAAGGGATCCAAGCAAGTTTTGATCAATACTTGGATTTACTTCTATATGACATTTAAGATTGCTGATGGCTTGGGTTAACAAAG